ATATTTCAAATGAATGCAGACAGAGTCATTACATGATTTAAAGCAACTATCATAATAATGGGGGGGGGGAGGCAAGTCACAAGGCATGAGATGTTCAGATATCATTCTAAACACTCAATTTTTTTTTCTTTGATATTGCTACTAAAACATAAACAATCTACCAGATTTCTATTTTTCAACAATGATAAAGGCATTTGTTAATAGCTTAAATTATAAACAAAGCTTAAGCTAACAACAAACACAGGAAATACTTTAAATGATCAATAATCAAGACTACTTCAGACTGAAGAGAATACTACAAAGATTCAACAATACTGAACAGTTTTGTAAATAAAGAATACATTGTTTTAAGTTGTTAAAAATATATCACAATTATACCATTTCCAGCATCATAAATACATAAAACCTATAACAAGGAAAACTGCTGTCATTTGTTACAAATATACTACAAACTATGTTGTCATTATTAAAGTGAGATACAAATAAATTCTCAATCCTTTGTAACAATATGACAGGTCTCTGTTAACTCTATTGTCTCATGTCACTCAACCCTTTGTAACAATATGACAGGTCTCTGTTAACGCTATTGTCTCGTGTCACTCAATCCTTTGTAACAATATGACAGGTCTCTGTTAACGCTATTGTCTCATGTCACTCAACCCTTTGTAACAATATGACAGGTCTCTGTTAACTCTATTGTCTCATGTCACTCAACCTTGGCCAGATTTATTCCTTTTCCAAACTGTTATGGCATTAGACCACAACTGCTGTTGATATTACATAAGGAATGTTGAATTCCTATATCAACATACTTCTATTTCTATTTGTGAATAAAACCAAATGAATGGGACTTTTTTAAAGCAGTGTAAATATTTTTTTCTTGTTTACTGGTATATGAACAGCTTTTAATTTGGTATATAAGCAACGTTTTAAAAAATATTACAACATAACACAATAAAATGTGCCATTTAAATATCGTGTAAACAAGAAGCAAGAAAAAGTAAATAAAAAAATCTACAAGTCTATTTCACCAATCATGAAGTCATTAATGTTGCCAATTTACGAAACTCTAATGTATCATTAAACTTGTAGACTCTCATGGCAAATTAACTGACCTTTGTGACCTCTCATGTCACATCAACTGACTTTTGTGACCCCTCATGTCACATCAACAGACTTTTGTGACCTCTCGTGTCACATCAACAGACTTTTGTGACCTCTCGTGTCACATCAACAGACTTTTGTGACCTCCTAGCAGCAACACTGGTTAATCTTGTACATGTTTAGTAATGATAATAGAAAATCGCATTAACAATGAGATCATTATATGATACAGTCACAATACTATCATTCACAAAAATATGTTGTAAAATCATATGTTTTGTTATCTTACACGCTCAAATAAAATATGTACAGCATAATGATTGAGCGACAATAATGAGTGTAGATTGATTGTGGTGCTATTTCCTACTACAATATACAACAACACAGAACATAATATGTATGTTACTGAAGGCTTTACCATTAGTCCTCCAAAGATACTTACTCAGGAGAATACACAAGTGTCAGCTACCTAGCAAGCATACCTACCACAAATACCACACAAGTTACAACAAATGTTTCATTTATATCAGGGTTTTAAAAGTACTACGCCTTCTAGGAGCAAACCAATCTTTCAAAAAGCAAAACCAATTTAAAACATTTGGAATAAATTCCATATTCATCGAGAAGTATTTGTTTTATCACTGTAATGTTTTCTCTATAGTCTCCTTAAGATGTCTACTCAGTCATCCTCTAAAATGTCATAAAATGTTTCCTACAAAATTTGTGTTATTAAAAATGAATATGAAAGTGATTAACTCAAATCTACAGGATTCCATAGCAAGATTTTGTATCTATGCTTGTTTCTTGAATTAGTTTTGAAATGGTAGGTGGTAAAAATGAATGCTAAGTGGTAAGGACTGACAGATAGGTGGTAACCTAAGGTTGGTTTGGGAGACTATAGTTAACATGTTATGTGACCTTCAGGTTAGTGTGGTTGACTATAGTTAACATGTTACGTGACCTTCAGGTTAGTGTGGTTGACTATAGTTAACATGTTACGTGACCTTCAGGTGAGTGTGGTTGACTATAGTTAACATGTTACGTGACCTTCAGGTTAGTGTGGTTGACTATAGATAACATGTTACGTGACCTTCACATGTTATGTGACCTTCAGGTTAGTGTGGTTGACTATAGATAACATGTTATGTGACCTTCAGGTTAGTGTGGTTGACTATAGTTAACATGTTATGTGACGTTCAGGTTAGTGTGGTTGACTATCGTATTGTTAAGTTCTAGCATCATTGTACATAAAATAATGGATGATACATGAAAAAATGTAAAATGAGATAAACTGGAGTGTAAAAACAATCAACATGTATACCTTGGTTTACCATGTACTGTAGATACTGTGAAGCCTGGCTAAGTATTTAGTCACTGACCACTAGTTTGGCCTTGTTGTTATGTCCAGGCTTAGCGATAAGTCACTAACCACTAGTTTGGCCTGGTCGTTATGTCCAGGCTTAGCGATAAGTCACTGACCACCAGTTTGGCCTGGTCGTTATGTCCAGGCTTAGCGATAAGTCACTGACCACCAGTTTGGCCTAGTCGTTATGTCCAGGCTTAGCGATAAGTCACTAACCACTAGTTTGGCCTGGTCGTTATGTCCAGGCTTAGCGATAAGTCACTGACCACCAGTTTGGCCTGGTCGTTATGTCCAGGCTTAGCGATAAGTCACTGACCACCAGTTTGGCCTGGTCGTTATGTCCAGGCTTAGCGATAAGTCAATGACCACTAGTTTGGCCTGGTCATTATGTCCAAGCTTAGCGATAAGTCAATACCATCAATGTGGTCTGGTCGTTAATGTCCAGACTTAGCAATATGTCACTGACCACTAGTTTGGCCTGGTCGTTATGTCCAGGCTTAGCGATAAGTCACTGACCACCAGTTTGGCCTGGTCATTATGTCCAAGCTTAGCGATAAGTCAATGACCACTAGTTTGGCCTGGTCGTTAATGTCCAGACTTAGCAATATGTCACTGACCACTAGTTTGGCCTGGTCGTTACGTCCAGACATCTCTACATCAGCATCCTAAAAGTATAGTTTTCCCTCTTTGCTCACTTGACCAAGTTCTGGCTGTATAGTATCATCTAAATATTATTCCTGGTTACACTTAACCTAACGCCAATATGGTTAGGGCCAAAAGTTTTAGACAAAACAAAACGATGAAATATGTAAAATCAAAACTCTGTCCATTCATATCATTTAAAACTTCGCTAGAATGTCTCAAGTATTCATTTCCATTCATGTTCTACATTTTAGGAATCGGTTAGCATGCTATTTCAGGTAAAAATTTTGAGATAATTGTGATACATTAAAAATAATTTTATGAAAATGTCATGGAAATATAAACATAAATTTAAAGAAAACAATTGAAACAACTTGTGCCTCTTATTTAAGCTGGCAATAAGATATCACAATTCTGTACATTATCATAAAATCACAATATTGTTGGATTTCTATATATACTAAATCTTACACAATCTCACAGTATCAAAGAGCAAATCATAAAGGCTACAAGGCACTGACTATTACAAACATGTACCATCAGACTTATCTCCCACCAACGTGTACCACAGACTTATCTCCCACCAACGTGTACCATCAGACTTATCTCACACCAACGTGTACCATGGGACTTATCTCCCACCAACGTGTACCATCAGACTTATCTCCCACCAACGTGTACCACAGACTTATCTCCCACCAACATGTACCATGGGACTTATCTCACACCAACGTGTACCACAGACTTATCTCCAACCAACGTGTACCATCGGACTTATCTCACACCAACGTGTACCATCGGACTTATCTCCCACCAACGTGTACCATCGGACTTATCTCCCACCAACGTGTACCATCGGACTTATCTCCCACCAACGTATACCATCGGACTTATCTCCCACCAACGTGTACCATGGGACTTATCTCCCACCAACGTGTACCATGGGACTTATCTCCCACCAACGTGTACCATGGGACTTATCTCCCACCAACGTGTACCATGGGACTTATTTCACACCAACATGTACCATGGGACTTATCTCCCACCAACGTGTACCATGGGACTTATCTCCCACCAACGTGTACCATCGGACTTATCTCCCACCAACGTGTACCATCGGACTTATCTCCCACCAACGTGAACTCTCCCACCAACGTGTACCATCGGACTTATCTCCCACCAACGTGTACCATCGGACTTATCTCCCACCAACGTGTACCATCAGACCTATCTCCCACCAACGTGTACCATCAGCCTTATCTGACACCAACCTGTACCATGGGACTTATCTCCCACCAACGTGTACCATGGGACTTATCTCCCACCAACATGTACCATCAGACTTATCTCACACCAACGTGTACCATCAGACTTATCTCACACCAACGTGTACCATCAGACCTATCTCCCACCAACATGTACCATCAGACTTATCTCACACCAACCTGTACCATCGGACTTATCTCACACCAACGTGTACCATCAGACTTATCTCACACCAACATGTCCCATCATACATGGCTGTTTATCTCACCACTTCACAAATACATGGCTGTTTATCTCACCACTTCACAAAGACATGGCTGTTTATCTGACCACTTCACAAAGATATGGCTGTTTAGCTCACCACTTCGAAAGGACAAGGATTTTACCTCAACACTTCACAAAGACGCGACTGTTTATCTCACCACTTCACAAAGACATGGCTGTTCATCAAAGACATGGATTTTACCTCAACACTTCACAAAGACATGACTGTTTATCAAAGACATGACTGTTTATCTCACCATTTCACAAAGACATGACTGTATCTAGCTAGAAATGCTGGCTAACCAAAAACATCATAATTAATTCAGTCCTTCAATAATATTATGATTGAATAATTAATCAATTACATTTCTGCATTTTCATAAAAACCCAATTCTTCATTATCATTGGTGACACAATTGTTTTTGTAGGCTGTGTGATTTGCGTCAGGTGGTTTCATTTTTTTTTGGGGAACATTTACATAGTCCCTCGTTTCACTTGTATCTTTACTTCCTACCTCAGAGTTTGTATAGGAAGTCTGTTCTTTGTCTTCAGTGTTGTTGGGGTCACTGTACACCATGGTATCTGTAGTTTTTTGGTCCGACTTTTTGGAGTTGTTATCCATGTAATACTCTACACCTTCAAGTCCAGTATAGAGAGGTCTTTGGGGCTGCGGCTGTATATACAGAGATTCCTTACATTTCCCCCCTGCCTTTTCTCCTATTTGTTCATTAACATAATACTGTTCTGGCTCGCTTTTCATTGACCAGTCCTTTTTTTTACCTTGTTTAGAGGATTTTATTTCCTCGTCTTGTAGATCCGCTACTGACGGAAGTGTTGGTAAATTTTCCGCTTTTTGTTTCTTTTTCATCTGTTTTCGATGCCGACGTCTGTAAATAAAAGCAAAGATGATTTCTGTAAATATCATTATCATATCTGTTTTCAACCAATTTTTTATCGACTCACAACCATGATTTCAGGAGTATTCTAAATCACTCCTCCATCTTTCTATCTATTTATCCTCATCCAAACTATACTTCATATGTACATAGTATATTTTGTTCTCACAGTGCACCAACACTGCTCAGATGGCCTGATTTGGAACATAAACAATGGCCTTGACTTTAGCCCAACAACCTGGTAAAAATGAACATTTGTGACATCATGTGATAGTAATGCATTTGTATGTAAATTTCAAAAATTTCCCCCAGGAACATGCACTGATTTCAAAGTTAAGTTAGGGACAGTGTGTTGTTCTGCTAATTCTATAATTTAACCTTGTCACATGCAACAGTAAACCATGTGACTGTTAATCTCATTGAGACATTGAAGGGATGTCATCACACACCCAGCAATAGATCTAAATAGAAACTATCAGCACTGATTTCTGTTCATCAACTTACCTGAGGACGAAACAAACAAGTACTGCAACAAGTACTAACACCACAACACCCCCGATGACTCCACCAACTATAGCTGTAAAGGTCAAAGAGCAAATGAAATAAATAACAAACACAAAAAGCAAGAGCTATAAAGGTCAAAGGTCAAATGAATTACCAAAATCAAAGCAAAATAACAGTTATGTTCAAGTGTATTAATTATGAATTGTACATCTAATAGCTGAATGTTCCTATTTCCTAATTTTTACCTTCTGTATGGGGTTTGGGTTACATAATATAATATACAGACTTTATCAAAATAACAGTACATCATGCCAGAACACGACGAAATAACATTTTAGGAAATCAGTAGACAACAAAAAAAATGTTTTTATTTCTCACTCCTTGCCCAGCGACTTAGTATTGTTGAAGTCAAGACAAGCTAGTACACTCACACCAGATTGAGCAAACTAAGGCCAGACATGGAACACTACGGCCAGACATGGTACACTAAGGCAAGATGTGGTACCCTCAGACCAGACATGGAACACTCAGACCAGAAATGGTACACTACGGCCAGACATGGTACACTCAGACCAGACATGGAACACTCAGACCAGAAATGGTACACTACGGCCAGACATGGTACACTCAGACCAGACATAGTACACTCAGACCAGACATGGTACACTCAGACCAGACATGGTACACTCAGACCAGACATAGTACACTCAGGCCAGACATGGTACACTCAGACCAGACATAGTACACTCAGACCAGACATGGAACACTCAGACCAGACATGGTACACTCAGGCCAGACATGGAACACTCAGGCCAGACATGGTACACTCAGGCCAGACATAGTACACTCAGGCCAGACATGGTACACTCAGACCAGACATGGAACACTCAGGCCAGACATGGTACACTCAGGCCAGACATGGAACACTCAGGCCAGACATGGTACACTCAGACCAGACATAGTACACTCAGGCCAGACATGGTACACTCAGACCAGACATAGTACACTCAGACCAGACATGGAACACTCAGGCCAGACATGGTACACTCAGACCAGACATAGTACACTCAGGCCAGAAATGGTACACTCAGACCAGACATAGTACACTCAGACCAGACATGGAACACTCAGACCAGACATGGTACACTCAGGCCAGACATGGAACACTCAGGCCAGACATGGAACACTAAGGCCAGACATGGAACAGTATGCCCAGATGTGGTACACTTAGGCAAGATGTGGTACACTCAGACCAGACATGGAACACTAAGGCCAGACATGGAACAGTATGCCCAGATGTGGTACACTAAGGCAAGCTGTGGTAAACTCAGGCCAGAGACAGAACACTCAGGCCAGACATGAAACACTATGCCCAGATGTGGTACACTAAGGCAAGATGTGGTACACTCAGACCAGACATGGAACACTAAGGCCAGACATGGAACAGTATGCCCAGATGTGGTACACTAAGTCAAGCTGTGGTAAACTCAGGCCAGACATAGAACAATCAGGCCAGACATGGAACACTATGCCCAGATGTGGTACACTAAGGCAAGATGTGGTACACACAGACCAGACGTAGAACACTCAGGCCAGACATGGAACACTTAGCCCAGATGTGGTACACTAAGGCCAGGCATGGAACACTCAGACCAGACATGGAACACACAGACCAGAAGTGGTACACTCAGACCAGATGTGGTACACTCAGACCAGATGTGGTACACTCAGACCAGAAGTGGTACACTCAGGCCAGAAGTGGTACACTCAGACCAGATATGGTACACTCAGACAAGATATGGTACACTTACACTAGATGTGGTACACTCAGACCAGATATGGTACACTTACACTAGATGTGGTACACTCAGACCAGATATGGTACACTCAGACCAGATGTGTTACACTCAGGCCAGAAGTGGTACACTCAGGCCAGAAGTGGTACACTCAGACAAGATATGGTACACTCAGACCAGATATGGTACACTTACACTAAATGTGGTACACTCAGACCAGATATGGTACACTCAGACCAGACATGGTACACTCAGACCAGATATGGTACACTCAGACCAGATGTGGTACACTCAGGCCAGAAGTGGTACACTCAGACCAGATGTGGTACACTCAGACTAGTTGTGGTACACTCAGACCAGATGTGAGAAGTAATGAAGGTGCAATAGAATGGTACTGATTTGTATACATGTAATATTTAACATTGACATGACATCATACACTTGTTCTGACAAGGAGACTATCTTGTGTTGGCCATCAGACTACACATCTGGGCAAGTACAGGTACAACAACCTCAGTCCAGGAAAATGAAACATATATATATACCACAGTGTTCTGAAGTAGTGGGAAGAAGTGAGAAACATCATTAATATATCTAACACAGTTTGTTTGTATCAGTGATATATGTTGATGATACAACATTATATATGATTACACTATGAGGAAATGAAACCCAGCCTATATATATCTTAAAATATTTCCATGATGGATTAAATGACAGAGACAAACCCAAAATATATAAATTCTCTCCATGAGTGGCCCAGCTACACAAACTTATTACTGAAAACTACAACCACAAATGGAATTTATTCTGCAGTGTTCCAAAACATTCATACATTTCAGGAGTAAGATCATTACACGACAACAAAAAAATATTTTATAGGTAAGAAACATGAGTGGGCTTATAACAGGACAACAACATAGTATTTGTTGATGGGCAATAAACATGAGTGGGCTTATAACAGGACAACAACATAGTATTTGTTGATGGGCAATAAACATGAGCGGGCTTATAACAGGACAACAACATAGTATTTGTTGATGGGCAATAAACATGAGCGGGCTTATGACAGAGCAACAAGACAGTCTTTGTTGATGGGCAATAAACATGAGTGGGCTTATAACAGGACAACAACATAGTATTTGTTGATGGGCAATAAACATGAGCGGGCTTATAACAGGACAACAACATAGTATTTGTTGATGGGCAATAAACATGAGCGGGCTTATAACAGGACAACAACATAGTATTTGTTGATGGGCAATAAACATGAGCAGGCTTGTTACAGGACAACAAGATAGTATTTGTTGATGGGCAATAAACATGAGCAGGCTTGTTACAGGACAACAACATAGTATTTGTTGATGGGCAATAAACATGAGCGGGCTTATTACAGGACAACAAGATAGTATTTGTTGATGGGCAATAAACATGAGTGGGCTTATAACAGGACAACAAGATATTATTTGTTGATGGGCAATAAACATGAGCAGGCTTATGACAACAACATAGTATTTGTTGATGGGCAATAAACATGAGTGGGCTTATAACAGGACAACAACATAGTATTTGTTGATGGGCAATAAACATGAGTGGGCTTATAACAGGACAACAACATAGTATTTGTTGATGGGCAATAAACATGAGTGGGCTTGTTACAGGAAAACAAGATAGTATTTGTTGATGGGCAATGAGTGAGTATGTAACTGGGTATGTTGTTACCTGGTACAGAACTTGGCTGATCCTGGTCTGTTGTAGTACTAGTGATGGGTGAAGTGGTGGTTCTATTAAAGATCTCTGTTTGGGTAGTTAGTGATGTTGATGTTGATGTTGTTGTCCCAGTAGAGGTGCTTTCAATGGTAGTGTTGATAGGGTTTGTTGCTGCTGTTGTTGCTTCTGTTGTTGGCGTTGTTGTTGCCATTATTACTGGGTGATAAAATTAACTGTTGAGAAACAATAAAAATGATTTATAAACATATCACATACGTGTGTATCAATTTGTCATAGTACACAAGTCCAATTTTATCAAGGATTATTGATGAATAGAAATTTTTTGCCATTTTATCTTAATATTATTATCAATCTATTTACAAAAAGTTAACTTCAAACTGTGTAAGAAGTCTGAAAAAAAAATTAAAAATCAGAACTTATTTCTTAAACATCATAAATGTTTGTCCTTAAATAACCTTCATGTTAAATATTCACATCCAAAACCCATTCTCATTTAGTGAAGTAATGTTTAATCCAAGATCTATGAAAGAGCATACAAGTATCTCTTCAGATGGTAAAGTGTCCTGTCTTTTGCCTTGTTTTCCACATCAGCATAATGATCCTTTGTTTATTTTCACACTACAAAACAAAACTAAATATGTGCTTTTCCTGTACCTAGCCTTAAACCCACAGCTTGTTCGGAAAGTGTGTATACGTGTAGCTTATTCATAGGGTCAAATACAGTCCTTCAGCTACAGGAACATACAAGGTATTTATCCTTCTATATTCCCGTCTCACACCCACCTTGAGCCTGTTATGTATCTTATTCCTGTCTCAAACCCACCTTGATTTTGTTGTGGGTCTTATTCCTGTCTCACACCTACCTTGATCCTGTTGTGTATCTTATTCCTGTCTCACACCTACCTTGATTTTGTTGTGGGTCTTATTCCTGTCTCACACCTACCTTGATCCTGTTGTGGGTCTTATTCCTGTCTCACACCTACCTTGATCCTGTTGTGTATCTTATTCCTGTCTCACACCTACCTTGATCCTGTTGTGTATCTTATTCAAGTCTCACACCTACCTAGATCCTGTTGTGGGTCTTATTCCTGTCTCACACCTACCTTGATCCTGTTGTGGGTCTTATTCCTGTCTCACACCTACCTTGATCCTGTTGTGTATCTTATTCCTGTCTCACACCTACCTTGATCCTGTTGTGGGTCTTATTCCTGTCTCACACCTACCTTGATCCTGTTGTGGGTCGTATTCCTGTCTCACACCTACCTTTATCCTGTTGTGGGTCTTATTCCTGTCTCACACCTACCTTGATCCTGTTGTGTATCTTATTCCTGTCTCACACCTACCTTGATCCTGTTGTGGGTCTTATTCCTGTCTCACACCTACCTTGATCCTGTTGTGGGTCGTATTCCTGTCTCACACCTACCTTTATCCTGTTGTGGGTCTTATTCCTGTCTCACACCCACCTTGATCCTGTTGTGTATCTTATTCCTGTCTCACACCTACCTTGATCCTGTTGTGTATCTTATTCCTGTCTCACACCTACCTTGATCCTGTTGTGGGTCTTATTCCTGTCTCACACCTACCTTGATCCTGTTGTGGGTCTGTCACACCTACCTTGATACCTTGATCCTGTTGTGGGTCTTTGATCCTATAGTGTATATTATTCCTGTCTCACACCTACCTTGATCCTGTTGTGGGTCTTATTCCTGTCTCACACCTACCTTGATCCTGTTGTGTATCTTATTCCTGTCTCACACCCACCTTGAGCCTGTTGTGGGTCTTATTCCTGTCTCACACCCACCTTGAGCCTGTTGTGGGTCTTATTCCTGTCTCACACCCACCTTGATCCTGTTGTGGGTCTTATTCCTGTCTCACACCCACCTTGATCCTGTTGTGTATCTTATTCCTGTCTCACACCCACCTTGATCCTGTTGTGTATCTTATTCCTGTCTCACACCCACCTTGATCCTGTTGTGTATCTTATTCCTGTCTCACACCCAACTTGATCCTGTTATGTATCTTATTCCTGTCTCACACCTACCTTGATCTTGTTGTGGGTCTTATTCCTGTCTCACACCTACCTTGGTCCTGTTGTGGGTCTTATTCCTGTCTCACACCTACCTTGATCTTGTTGTGGGTCTTATTCCTGTCTCACACCTACCTTGATCTTGTTGTGGGTCTTATTCCTGTCTCACACCTACCTTGATCCTGTTGTGGGTCTTATTCCTGTCTCACACCTACCTTGATCCTGTTGTGGGTCTTATTCCTGTCTCACACCCACCTTGATCCTGTTGTGTATCTTATTCCTGTCTCACACCTACCTTGATCCTGTTGTGGGTCTTATTCCTGTCTCACACCCACCTTGATCCTGTTATGTATCTTATTCCTGTCTCACACCTACCTTGATCCTGTTGTGGGTCTTATTCCTGTCTCACACCTACCTTGATCCTGTTGTGGGTCGTATTCCTGTCTCACACCTACCTTGATCCTGTTGTGGGTTTTATTCCTTTAGCAATATATATTTAGGTGAAAAATTACCAGTGATTAAGAGATTCACAAAATTGTGCTTTTCTTTCCCAGAATCATGGCCAAGTGATTTCAGTTGAAAAATGAGTCCTGTAAAAATCAGTTCTGCAGTGTCTACTAGCAGGGACTGCTTTAACATCCACATTTCTAACAAATGTACATCACCATGATAAGTGTCCATTTCCTTATGTAAGCATGAGGTCATCAAGTTAAGGCATACAGCTAACTTATTTTTAGAGTAAAAGTTGATGATGCCTTCACAGAAATTGTGTCTATTTTGGACGATTGTTTCATTTCTATCCTCAATCTTTAAACATAGAATGTTTCCTGTTTATCATAGATTTCATAAAGAAGAAACTTGACACTATTTATACAAAACATAATGTATCACAAGCTAGTAAATCAGGAGTGTGACAGGGTCACATGACTACTGGCAATCATGGCAATTAATTAGGTTACATTAGAACAAGGTCACATGACTACTGGCAATCATGGCAATTAATTAGGTTACATTAGAACAAGGTCACATGACTACTGGCAATCATGGCAATTAATTAGGTTACATTAGAACAAGGTCACATGACTACTGGCAATCATGGCAATTAATTAGGTTACATTAGAACAAGGTCACATGACTACTGGCAATCATGGCAATTAATTAGGTTACATTAGAACAGGGTAACATAACCACTGGCAATCACCGTGGCTACCTGTAATACAAGTGATAGTTTGTATTCATTATATTATATTTGTGTGTTTTATTTGCGTGTCAGTTACTTTTGTTTTGTCTGGTGTACATATCTAGTGTCTAATATTTCACCTTACTTTAATGTTCGTCATGCCATACACGGGGCAAGTCTTGTATTTATATTGTAAACTATCTATGTCTATACAAATCATTGATAAAGATCTTTATTTATCTATTTCAAAGAAGCAATTCGATCATTTAAAATTTATTCTATATTTACATCTCACGATTTGAGTGAGAGCAATATCTTGTCAATTAAATTATGTTATCCTCTGTTTCTATTTAGGTCAAGGCCATATATGTCCCATGTAAATGAAAGTGGTAAGTATTGTAATAAGTTACATAGTGTTCTTTTTGTATTTGTTATTTATATTGTTTAAGGGATCTCTATGCTTCATCTTTAAGAATGAAGATATGGAATGACATCATCAGGTTGATTGTTTGAATGGAGATAACTCCTAACCCTAACTCGGCTACATCATGAAAACACATTAGATGTAGTTTTAGCTCATCTTCTGGAAGGACAAGTGTTACAATAAAATCATTGTCTGATTTCTCAATCACCATGAGACCTTGTGTCAGGATGTCATACCAGTTGCATGCTGGGTAAACAACTAACAATAAAAACATACTCAAATGAATGAACTTGACCCTACTTTAAGGTCACAGGGGTTAAAAGTCTTATCAATCATTAGCTGACTTCTCACCGAGTCATTCCAAGAAAAGCTGTCTTCATTTAAATTGAAAACACAAACCAGTAGACATGTCTCTTTTGGATACATTTGTACATGTTTTCAATTCAAAGAAATGTCTGTGTCAAATAATACACAACTAATTCTATAAATACAGGGACTGATGCAATCTCTCTTTCCTACAAACTTTTGTACAGCCCAAATATAGAATGTACATTGATGTTTAGTACAGACAGAGGAGTTAAACAGAGCCAGATCTAAACTTTCATCCTATCCCAACCACTGGTCCAGTGACACTTCAACACAAGGTTGTACACAGATGTACATAAGTAACAAGGAAACTAATTCCCTAATTCGTATGTCTTTGATAGGTAGACGATAAACAGACTAGGTATATGTCCGTGATAGGTAGACGATAAACAGACTAGGTATATGTCCGTGGTAGGTAGACGATAAACAGACAAGGTATATGTCCGTGGTAGGTAGACGATAAACAGACTAGGTATATGTCCGTGGTAGGTAGACGATAAACAGACTAGGTATATGTCCGTGATAGGTAGACGATAAACAGACTAGGTATATGTCCGTGATAGGTAGACGATAAACAGACTAGGTATAACCGTTTACCTGTAACGTGTGGTGTTAGATGTCCTGGTCATGTTTTGTATGAGTGTACAGCGTTTCCCTTTTCTCAATCCCGCACATTTGCTCTGCTAATACCGATATGAATTGGGTTTGACCTAAATAAAATGTCTTTATCATATATTCCCTGTGACAGCTTTAAGTTACTGTCAGTACCCAGTTTTGCCGAACCTTCTTGATCTGTGTAATGTTAAGAGAACGGAAAACGAAAGGGTACTTAGTATTTAAAAGTTACATACATGATACACAATACAAGATTAACACTATAACTGACCTGTACGCTTCCAACTTTCCGTTTATCAACACTACCGGGAAGGTTGACTTAGAACTGTGCCAAGGGTGGGGTCACTGGTTTAGCTATTTACAGAAGGGTTGACCACAGGTACAATTTACCTGGCTTGGGCGCCAGGTAAAGTAGCCTTTCCGTCCACACCTGTTCGACACCTGTCCAGCTGATGATGGTGAACATAAATGAGGGTAAAGTATGTCGCCTCCTCTCTTTATCTTTCACAAAAAAACGTAATTCAGGAAGTACATCATTTGATAACGGAACCAGGAAGTAAATCGTTATTATTTCGGAGAATTTACTTTACTGAGAAAACGCGCGCGAAATTCAAACTTATTCCATGCACGTGTTATTCCTTAAGTAGTAGCTTTTTGTCTCTCGCTGCTGTTTTGTCGACATCTTACAAAAAGTAGATGACACGTCACTAATTGTCTCCCTCAATGGCGTGACTGATTACAAAGTTATTTTGAACGAACAGAACTTCTGGTAGTTTTTCAGAAAGGTTACACTGAGAAGTCCTGATTAGTATCTGACATTCGCATTTAAAAGACAAAACCAATTACCGTGCAACTCGCCTTCTCATAGTGGTTGACAATTATGTAAAAAATAAAACAATCATACAAAGCTTCGTCCCTCTACTATAACTGGTTACGAAACGGACACGAGACGCACGCACAGACAAATATAGCGGTCCCCACCTTCGATACCACAGTGGGATTATTTTTATAATTGTCTTTATTTCCTCCAAAATGAAGAGCATGACGTAACAATTTTATCACAATATTACATGTACCAAGAGAACAACATATCAAGTATTACAAAGGTGTACAGATATGTAAACTTAATAATATAAACCAAGGAAAAAGAATAAAATAAGTTATTAATTGAACAAGTTTTATAATTGTATAATGAAGGTATAGTGATAATAGATGATTACTGACCAAGTGAACGGATTAGCATGTAACAATCTATATATACTCATACAGTCCATTCATCCTTTTTACATGATACACTGAAATCAATCTTAATTCTTCTACATCATGTTTGTTGTCTTGATAGGCCATAGGGCCTCCCAGCAAAATATTAGTTATATCATCATCTGACAATGACTGTAAATATGAAGAAAATTGATCTCCACAGATTGACACACTAACACACCATAGGTCGTCACGCACAGCTCTTGTTAGAGAACAATGTATGATAACTTGATTCAGAATATCTGATTAAACAATTCGACAAACAGGACACAACAATAGAGTACGTACATTTCGTATGGAAACGATAATTCTAACAATATAACTTGCATTGCAGAGACAACTTGGACAATGTAAAGCTAGATTACATAAACAGTGTGGTTCAAATTGCTTGTATAGTAATAAAAATCTTGTACAATCGGTATCATTGGTTATTCTATGCAAACTAGCACTTGTTACATAGTTTGAAACGAACTTATACACAATTTTCCTCCAGTGTATTTTTTGTTTGGAAATGAGCCACCATTTAGTAGAAGTTCAAAATTCTCATATTAGTTTTACTTTTTGCAGTATTCTAACAATGTCTGGTATATAACCGTCTTGGGTATATTCATTTAAGGTGTAAAATAGCACCTCAATATAAAAATTCTATTAGATAAATTGCTTCTTTCCATTCTGCACAATCTTCCTAAAATTTTTATTTTTGGCATCAATGTATGTTTCCAAGGACGTCCATCCCAGCAGGGAGGTACACATGTCAATTCTAGTTCTTTTTTCTCAAACTTATATTGACTTCAAAGTAAAACGCCATTATCCTGGAGTAACTTTAAGTTTAAGAACTTGTCCTTTTGGGGAAAAACAAGAATTCGGTATGGGACACCATACAAGTAAAACAGGGAGAGATTCGTGGCAAAGGACCGACATAAAACAAGGAGAGATTCGCGGCAGAGGACCGACTTAGAACAGAGAGAGATTCGCGGCAGAGGACCGACATAAAACAAGGAGAGATTCGTGGCAGAGGGCCGACATAAAACGGAGAGATTCGGGTCAGAGGACCGACGTAGAACAGGGAGAGATTCGTGGCATAGACCCGACACAAAACAGAGACAGCTAAATCCTCTTTCTATTGTCTCTTTTGTTGTGTAATTATAAAACAAGATAATATAACACATCCATTAGTAGAATCAAAATACAACAGCACACAACACACTATAAAACATCGTAACCATACAAATATATCATACAGAGAGTACGGAATCAGTGGATTCACCATGGTGTTTTACATACAACATACCGGGGATATTTGTACTGAAACCCTGGTAGCGGTGTACAGATCCGGGATATTTGTACTGAAACCCTGGTAGGACAGAACAGATCCGGGGATATTTGTGCTGAAATCCTGGTAGGATAGAACAGATCCGGGGATATTTGTACTGAAACCCTGGTAGCGGTGTACGGATCCAGGGATATTTGTACTGAAATCCTGGTAGTGGTGTACAGATCTGGGGATATTTGTACTGAAACCCTGGTAGGACAGAACAGATCCGGGGATATTTGTACTGAAACCCTGGTTGTGGTGTACAGATCCGGGGATATTTGTACTGAAACCCTGGTAGGACAGAACAGATCCGGGGATATTTGTGCTGAAATCCTGGTAGGATAGAACAGATCTGGGGATATTTGTACTGAAACCCTGGTAGCGGTGTACGGATCCAGGGATATTTGTACTGAAATCCTGGTAGTGGTGTACAGATCTGGGGATATTTGCACTGAAACCCTGGTAGGACAGAACAGATCCGGGGATATTTGTACTGAAACCCTGGTTGTGGTGTACAGATCCGGGGATATTTGTACTGAAACCCTGGTAGTGGTGTACAGAGCTGGGGATATTTGTACTGAAACCCTGGTAGTGGTGTACAGATCTGGGGATATTTGTACTGAACCCCTGGTTGTGGTGTACAGATCTGGGGATATTTGTACTGAAACCCTGGTAGTGGTGTACAGATCTTGGGATATTTGTACTGAAACCCTGGTAGTGGTGTACAGAGCTGGGGATATTTGTACTGAAACCCTGGTAGTGGTGTACAGATCCGGGGATATTTGTGCTGAAATCCTGGTAGGATAGAACAGATCCGGGGATATTTGTACTGAAACCCTGGTAGCGGTGTACGGATCCAGGGATATTTGTACTGAAATCCTGGTAGTGTTGTACAGATCTGGGGATATTTGCACTGAAACCCTGGTAGGACAGAACAGATCCGGGGATATTTGTACTGAAACCCTGGTTGTGGTGTACAGATCCGGGGATATTTGTACTGAAACCCTGGTAGTGGTGTACAGAGCTGGGGATATTTGTACTGAAACCCTGGTAGTGGTGTACAGATCCGGGGATATTTGTACTGAAACCCTGGTAGTGGTGTACAGATCTGGGGATATTTGTACTGAAACCCTGGTAGTGGTGTACAGATCTGGGGATATTTGTACTGAAACCCTGGTAGTGGTGTACAGATCTATTTGTACTGGGTAGTGGTGTATTTATTTGTACTGAAACCCTGGTAGTGGTGTACAGATCTGGGGATATTTGTACTGAAACCCTGGTAGTGGTGTACAGATCTGGGGATATTTGTACTGAAACCCTGGTAGTGGTGTACAGATCTGGGGATATTTGTACTGAAACCCTGGTAGTGGTGTACAGATCTGGGGATATTTGTACTGAAACCCTGGTAGTGGTGTACAGATCCGGGGATATTTGTACTGAAACCCTGGTAGTGGTGTACAGATCTGGGGATATTTGTACTGAACCCCTGGTAGTGGTGTACAGATCCGGGGATATTTGTACTGAAACCCTGGTAGTGGTGTACAGATCCGGGGATATTTGTACTGAAACCCTGGTAGTGGTGTACAGATCCGGGGATATTTGTACTGAAACCCTGGTAGTGGTGTACAGATCCGGGGATATTTGTACTGAAACCCTGGTAGTGGTGTACAGATCTGGGGATATTTGTACTGAAACCCTGGTAGTGGTGTACAGATCTGGGGATATTTGTACTGAAACCCTGGTAGTGGTGTACAGATCTGGGGATATTTGTACTGAAACCCTGGTAGTGGTGTACAGATCTTGGGATATTTGTACTGAAACCCTGGTAGTGGTGTACAGATCTGGGGATATTTGTACTGAAACCCTGGTAGTGGTGTACAGATCTGGGGATATTTGTACTGAAACCCTGGTAGTGGTGTACAGATCTGGGGATATTTGTACTGAACCCCTGGTTGTGGTGTACAGATCCGGGGATATTTGTACTGAAACCCTGGTTGTGGTGTACAGATCCGGGGATATTTGTACTGAAACCCTGGTAGTGGTGTACAGATCTGGGGATATTTGTACTGAAACCCTGGTAGTGGTGTACAGATCTGGGGATATTTGTACTGAAACCCTGGTAGTGGTGTACAGATCAGGTAGGATAGGGTTCCGGGGATATTTACTGAAACCCTGGTAGTAGTCCAGGGATATTTGTACAGGTATCAGATCTGGGGATATTTGTACTGAAACCCTGGTAGTGGTGTACAGATCTGGGGATATTTGTACTGAAACTCTGGTAGTGGTGTACAGATCTGGGGATATTTGTACTGAAACCCTGGTAGTGGTGTACAGATCTGGGGATATTTGTACTGAAACCCTGGTAGTGGTGTACAGATATTTCTTATGAAAAAAATGTCATATTTCTGAAATTCTGGTAGTGGTTACAGATCTTGTGGATATTTGTAGAAACCCTGGTAGTGGTGTACAGATTATTTTCCTAAACCCTGGTAGAATCGCGATATTTGTACTGAAAATAACAGCTATACAAATGACGTTCCGGGGACAAGAGTAAGAAAGGACGATTGTCTCGAAGGTATGGCTGTGACATCATCATGATCGATACATTAATTATTCGTCATTCGTTAATCTGGGTGAAATGAAGCATATATACCTGGGACTAATCGGTGTAGGATGTGACATGAAACCCCACAGATACGGCCGTATTTGGACTGGTAGGAACAGATCGGGGATATTTGTACTGAAACCCTGGTAAGACAGAACAGATTCGGGGATATTTGTACTGAAACCCTGGTAGTGGTGTACAGATCCGGGGATATTTGTAACCCTGGTAGTGGTGTACGTTTATTTTTGAAGACCAGAAAGGTTTGGGGATACAGTACCTGAAAGGCGTCGATAGAAGTTGACAAGTAAAGCTAATGATTACATCTTATTGAGGTGAATTACAAGCACCGAACAATGTAATCATTTCATCATCCTAGATGTAGTTGAGCACAACTTTGTGAAGTGAGTTCAAACTTTCGCCAATAACTATGAAATACGACATCTGTGTGCTGCTGTGTTTGATTCTACAGCTCCTGAGCTTTAGCACCAGTAAGTATTCTCTAAATATTATACATAAACTCTACAATATATGGAATTTCAAACAGAACACATTATAAAGTAAAAGACATACATACAGTTTGTGTAATACAAAGTATTAAATAATCTCCAGATATTATTCTAAGACTGTTCTATGTTGTCCTCCCCTTTGTAACTCTTGGTATTTACAATGTTAATTAAGATGTACCTATGAATTAGCTTGCAGTGAGCCGTGAAATTCACAACTGATATTTTAATAAATTCAATGGTTGTTTGTTTGTTTATTTATTTTTTAAATTATTATTCGATATTGGGGGCTGCCTTTATTACACTGACAAGCATAATTGTAGCCGTTGTCGGCGACAGTATTTAGATATAATCACACCCTCTCCATACAAATACTTTTAACGATGGACGGAAACTCCATTGTAAGAACATTTGATTCGAAAACTCTTACATTTTTGCTGATAAATCCACTTATTCTTGAAGAAAAAAAACACAGCAAAAACGATAAAAATCATCGTCTTCCTTTTTAAAGTTTACGGCGCGGTTTTCGATCTCGGGGGGAAAAGACAAATTATGTTTTGTTTTGATTTAAAAACTCTGATTGATCGTCGATTGTTCCGACTCATTGGAGCTATGTCGTAATCAGCAGAGCGAGCAGTGCTTACACTGTACTGGACGTACGGAGGTCAGGAACCTGGAGTTTTGACATATCGACATTGTTGTATGTAATGGCGCTGTAAGCTTGTGGCGCATCCCCAGGCGCTGTGGAAATACTTATTTGTTACCTGTCACCAAGATAGTAAGGTACTTGCATGATAATGGTACACATATACTAGTTCTATACCACAGGTAACTTTATTTTCTGAGAGGGCATACTCAGACAAGAAGACATTTTTTCTGGATTTTTTTACACTTTGAAAAAAGAGAGAAAAATATATTAAATATACCAAAATTGTCAATAATAAATTCATGCACCCGAAAACATATCAAATGAGATATTTTATTATTGTTAAAGATCACAGAAAAAAATCAGTGGTCTAAACTTTGTAAGCGATTGAAAAAAATGTTTACGTCATTAGACATTGTGTGTATGATGTCACGACATCAGTTAGACCTACCAGTAGACATTGTGTGTATGATGTCACGACATCAGTTAGACCTACCAGTAGACATTGTGTGTATGATGTCACGACATCAGTTAGACCTACCAGTAGACATTGTGTGTATGTCACGATATCAACTAGACCTACCAGTAGACATTGTGTGTATGATGTCACGACATCAGTTAGACCTACCAGTAGACATTGTGTGTATGATGTCACGACATCAGTTAGACCTACCAGTAGACATTGTGTGTATGATGTCACGACATCAGTTAGACCTACCAGTAGACATTGTGTGTATGATGTCACGACATCAGTTATACCTACCAGTAGACATTGTGTGTATAATGTCACTACATAAACTAGACCTACCAGTAGACATTGTGTGTATGATGTCACGACATCAACTAGACATACCAGTAGACACTTATGTATGATGTCACGACATCAACTAGACCTACCAGTAGACATTGTGTGTATGATGTCACGACATAAACTAGACCTATCAGTAGACATTGTGTGTATGATGTCACGACATCAACTAGACCTACCAGTAGACATTATGTGTATGATGTGACGACATCAGTTAGACCTATCAGTAGACACTGTATGTATGTCACGATATCAAATAGACCTACCAGTAGACATTGTGTGTATGATGTCACGACATCAGTTAGACCTACCAGTAGACATTGTGTGTATGTCACGATATCAACTAGACCTACCAGTAGACATTGTGTGTATGTCACGATATCAACTAGACCTACCAGTAGACATTGTGTGTATGATGTCACGACATCAGTTAGACCTACCAGTAGACATTGTGTGTATGATGTCACGACATCAGTTAGACCTACCAGTAGACATTGTGTGTATGATGTCACGACATCAGTTAGACCTACCAGTAGACATTGTGTGTATGATGTCACGACATCAGTTAGACCTACCAGTAGACATTGTGTGTATGATGTCACGACATCAGTTAGACCTACCAGTAGACATTGTGTGTATGATGTCACGACATCAGTTAGACCTACCAGTAGACATTGTGTGTATGATGTCACGACATCAGTTAGACCAGTAGACATTGTGTGTATGATGTCACGACATCAGTTAGACCTACCAGTAGACATTGTGTGTATGATGTCACGACATCAGTTATACCTACCAGTAGACATTGTGTGTATAATGTCACTACATAAACTAGACCTACCAGTAGACATTGTGTGTATGATGTCACGACATCAACTAGACATACCAGTAGACACTTATGTATGATGTCACGACATCAACTAGACCTACCAGTAGACATTGTGTGTATGATGTCACGACATCAGTTAGACCTACCAGTAGACATTGTGTGTATGATGTCACGACATTAATTTTACATGTGAACATAATATGTACTTTGGTTCTGTATCTTGTACTTCCCTGTAAGTGATGAAAACATCATGTGTCCCTTATCTACAGTGCCACATTGCACTGTGTATTTATAGATAGACAGTTTGATGAATAACTGTAAAACACCACCGATAAGGTATCAACCGGACTTACACCATTCAAACAGATCGACAAATTACACAGAAATATTAAAATACTCAGTTTTAGATCCTAGATTTAAATAATGATTGTTAAAAAGGCCTGTATATTTTAGGCTTTAAAACATGCATGTGTTTTGTTGATTGTAAAATATTGCTTCTCTCTCTCCTTCACCAAATGTCTGTTTTCTCTGTCCCGATCTGTGTTATTTGTCGTTTTTATGCTCTTCAAAAAGTTTTCGAGAACGTATGTAGTCGCAGCTTCGTCCGTCCGTCCGTCTTTCGTGTCAAGGGCCTAGCTTTGCCCACATTTAAACAAGGATCCTGAAACTCTGTATCTACTTTGGTCATACTAAGGTAATGTGGCGTGTACTAGATTCAGGACCCACACTCCCTTAATTACAGACTTATTGCCCTTTGTTAAACTTGTCCTGATCATAACTTTGCCTTAGTTTCAGTTAAGATAATGAAACTTAGTGTATACATTGATCATACGAAGACATTGTGCAATGCACAAATGTTATGACCTGCAAGCCCTTAATCACTGAGTTATTGGCCTTTGTTAAAATTTTGTGTCCAGAACATAGCTCTGCTTTCATTTAAGCAAGGACATTGAAACTCGGTGTATAATTAGTTATACTTGGAGGATGTGCAGTGTATCAAATTCAGGGTCTGCAACCCCTTAATTACAGAGTTACTCATCTTTGTTAAAATTTTATGTCCAGAGTAACAGTTTGCCTTCATTTAAACCAGGATGATGAAACTTGGTGTGTACATTGGTCATACTAAGAGAATGTGCATTGTTCCAAAATCAGGGCCAGAAACCCCTTCACTAGATAATTACTGCCCTTTGTTAAAATTTTGTGTCCAATAAAGTTATTTTCCGGGAGTATTCATCAGTTTTACTGTACTCTTGTTTAAGTCACGCTAATTAATCTCTATATCACCAAATACTTACAATAAGTATCACAGCATCTCAATTAACATGATTTAAAGAAAATGTTAAGATAACCCATTTTGCAACGAAGACTTCCTTAAGATTATACCGATTATTCTCCAACACAAGCTTAATATCAAATAAATCATTTGACATTTTAATCCTCCTTTAAACCAGTCAAGTTTGTCCTCAGTACTAGCCTTAGGCTGGTTTAGATTATGGTGCACAATTCACTGTTTTACAAGTGATTACGATATCACAACACTGAATACAAGATCTCACGTATCCGACTTAAAACGATCCCTACTATAGATGATTCTGTCCGATATGTTAAACGTTACGCATTGTAGTACAAACACTTCTGTGTATTGAAAGTGGCGTGTAACAACGTCTCTGTGGGAGAAGGTTTTGGGTAAAATGCTATATGATTTATAAATACTATTATAATACACTGGCACCCTCCAAAAGAAACACATGTAAGACATTTGGCGGAGACTGTCACTTTATTTTTCAGAAGCACAGTCCCGATATGCGTGCCTTCAAGGACGGCCCGGGTTTTTCTCTAGCCAATCAGATGACGATTCTCATTCTGCTGAGGATTTGATGTCCGGCTCGTCAACAATGACGGGGACATTGGGATGTGACGACATGCCCGGCACGCGCATCCTGGTTTCAAAGGTTATCCATGGTCGTGGAGGTCCATTCGCGTCCTGTGGCAGTCCGAACGAGTTCTGTGACGACGTCATTTACAGCAATAGTCGACTGGCAGTAATGTGTGACAGGAAGATTCGATGTTTCCCTAGCACTACTTCCAAACTGATTCCTCACTGTGGCACCAACAGCAACTTTATCCACGTGGAGTACGAATGTGTCAACCGTGAGTTCGCATTCTAAAATAAAGTTACAGGAAACATACACGTGGGTACAGTGTCACCGATAAAGTGACAGTAAACATACACGTGGGTACAGTATCACCGATAAAGTGACAGTAAACATACACGTGGGCACAGTATCACCGATAAAGTGACAGTAAACATACACGTGGGTACAGTATCACCGATAAAGTGACAGTAAACATACACAGTAAACATACACATACACGTGGGTACAGTATCACCGATAAAGTGACAGTAAACATACACGTGGGCACAGTATCACCGATAAAGTGACAGTAAACATACACGTGGGTACAGTATCACCGATAAAGTGACAGTAAACATACACGTGGGTACAGTGTCACTGATAAAGTTACAGTAAACATACACGTGGGTACAGTATCACTGATACAGTTACAGTAAACATACACGTGGGTACAGTATCACCGATAAAGTGACAGTAAACATACACGTGGGTACAGTATCACTGATACAGTCACAGTAAACATACACGTGGGTACAGTATCACTGATAAAGTTACAGTAAACATACACGTGGGTACAGTATCACCGATAAAGTGACAGTAAACATACACGTGGGTACAGTGTCACTGATAAAGTGACAGTAAACATACACGTGGGTACAGTGTCACTGATACAGTTACAGTAAACATACACGTGGGTACAGTGTCACTGATAAAGTGACAGTAAACATACACGTGGGTACAGTATCACTGATACAGTTACAGTAAACATACACGTGGGTACAGTATCACCGATAAAGTGACAGTAAACATACACGTGGGTACAGTGTCACTGATACAGTTACAGTAAACATACACGTGGGTACAGTATCACTGATACAGTTACAGTAAACATACACGTGGGTACAGTATCACCGATAAAGTGACAGTAAACATACACGTGGGTACAGTGTCACTGATAAAGTGACAGTAAACATACACGTGGGTACAGTGTCACTGATACAGTGACAGTAAACATACACGTGGGTACAGTGTCACTGATGCAGTGACAGTAAACATACACGTGGGTACAGTATCACTGATACAGTTACAGTAAACATACACGTGGGTACAGTATCACCGATAAAGTGACAGTAAACATACACGTGGGTACAGTATCACTGATACAGTTACAGTAAACATACACGTGGTTACAGTGTCACTGATAAAGTGACAGTAAACATACACGTGGGTACAGCATCACTGATAAAGTGACAGTAAACATACACGTGGGTACAGCATCACTGATAAAGTGACAGTAAACATACACGTGGGTACAGTGTCACTGATAAAGTGACAGTAAACATACACGTGGGTACAGTATCACCGATAAAGTGACAGTAAACATACACGTGGGTACAGTATCACTGATAAAGTGACAGTAAACATACACGTGGGTACAGTGTCACTGATAAAGTGACAGTAAACATACACGTGGGTACAGTATCACTGATAAAGTGACAGTAAACATACACGTGGGTACAGTATCACCGATAAAGTGACAGTAAACATACACGTGGGTACAGTATCACCGATAAAGTGACAGTAAACATACACGTGGGTACAGTATCACTGATAAAGTTACAGTAAACATACACGTGGGTACAGTGTCACTGATAAAGTGACAGTAAACATACACGTGGGTACAGTATCACCGATAAAGTGACAGTAAACATACACGTGGGTACAGTGTCACTGATAAAGTGACAGTAAACATACACGTGGGTACAGTATCACCGATAAAGTGACAGTAAACATACACGTGGGTACAGTATCACTGATAAAGTGACAGTAAACATACACGTGGGTACAGCATCACTGATAAAGTGACAGTAAACATACACGTGGGTACAGTATCACCGATAAAGTGACAGTAAACATACACGTGGGTACAGTATCACCGATAAAGTGACAGTAAACATACACGTGGGTACAGTGTCACTGATACAGTTACAGTAAACATACACGTGGGTACAGTATCACCGATAAAGTGACAGTAAACATACACGTGGGTACAGTATCACCGATAAAGTGACAGTAAACATACACGTGGGTACAGTATCACTGATACAGTTACAGTAAACATACACGTGGGTACAGTATCACTGATAAAGTTACAGTAAACATACACGTGGGTACAGTGTCACTGATAAAGTGACAGTAAACATACACGTGGGTACAGTATCACTGATACAGTTACAGTAAACATACACGTGGGTACAGTGTCACTGATACAGTTACAGTAAACATACACGTGGGTACAGTGTCACTGATACAGTTACAGTAAACATACACGTGGGTACAGTGTCACTGATAAAGTGACAGTAAACATACACGTGGGTACAGTGTCACTGATACAGTTACAGTAAACATACACGTGGGTACAGTGTCACTGATACAGTTACAGTAAACATACACGTGGGTACAGTGTCACTGATAAAGTTACAGTAAACATACACGTGGGCACAGTATCACCGATAAAGTGACAATAAACATACACGTGGGTACAGCATCACCGATAAAGTGACAGTAAACATACACGTGGGTACAGTGTCACTGATACAGTTACAGTAAACATACACGTGGGTACAGTGTCACTGATAAAATGACAGTAAACATACACGTGGGTACAGCATCACCGATAAAGTGACAATAAACATACACGTGGGTACAGTATCACTGATAAAGTGACAATAAACATACACGTGGGTACAGCATCACCGATAAAGTGACAGTAAACATACATGTGGGTACAGTGTCACTGATAAAGTGACAATAAACATACACGTGGGTACAGCATCACCGATAAAGTGACAGTAAACATACACGTGGGTACAGTATACACGTGGGTACAGTATACACGTGGGTACAGTATACACGTGGGTACAGTATACACGTGGGTACATGAGCTGTTATCATCAGAATTCGAATTCATGCTGACATATATAAACTTTCAATGAAAAATGACGACAACGATGTAGAAAATGTCGTTTACCTGTCTTTACCCAGCGACTGACGCCGCTAAATTGTCGGAATACACCTGTCACGTATTTGTGCTGTATTCGGTAGTGTCAACTGTTTCAGTGTAAACTAATTCGCCAGAATTATTTTCTTACATTCTTACATTCTTACATTCTTACATTCGAAATATGAATACCTTTTTATCAAAACTGATCATTTGTTTTGACGATACGAAAAGACATAAAGTTGCTTTTACATTCGGTGACGACTGGACCTGTATTTCTTTGCGGAGTAATTATTTTGGTGGAAGTCATTAGTAAAACCAGAGTACAACGGCATTAGCTACACGCAGTTGTACACACAAACTGTCAAGTTATTATTTTTGTAATTCGAATTTTCAGTAAATGTTTTGAACCAAAAGAGGTATTCCAAAGCCTCGTGCTTAACACTTTTATCTTTCTTCACAGGGGCCAAACAGTTTATATTTCAAGACCATGTATACTTTATTTGTTTAATGTAATCGTGCTGTCGTCTGTAGTTTCAGTTTTCGAAAAGCAAGCTGATCATTTATCTGAAAAATAGCCGGATAATCATAACTGACACGGTATCATCAAACTCGTGTTACGAGTTCAGATAGGGCTGTTTTATTTAAAAACCTCTGTATACCTTTCGGCCTGGTCAGTGTTGGAAATTTCTGTATACCTTTCAGCCTGGTCAGTGTTGGATATTTCTGTATACCTTTCAGCCTGGTCAGTGTTTGATATTTCTGTATACCTTTCAGCCTGGTCAGTGTTTGATATTTCTGTATACCTTTCAGCCTGGTCAGTGTTGGAAATTTCTGTATACCTTTCAGCCTGGTCAGTGTTGGAAATTTCTGTATACCTTTCAGCCTGGTCAGTGTTTGATATTTCTGTATATCTTTCAGCCTGTTCAGTGTTGGATATTTCTGTAAACCTATCAGCCTGGTCAGTGTTTGATATTTCTGTATATCTTTCAGCCTGGTCAGTGTTTGATATTTCTGTATACCTTTCAGCCTGGTCAGTGTTTGATATTTCTGTATACCTTTCAGCCTGGTCAGTGTTTGATATTTCTGTATATCTTTCAGCCTGGTCATTGTTTGATATTTCTGTATACCTTTCAGCCTGGTCAGTGTTTGATATTTCTGTATACCTTTCAGCCTGGTCAGTGTTTGATATTTCTGTATACCTTTCAGCCTGGTCAGTGTTGATATTTCTGTATACCTTTCAGCCTGGTCAGTGTTGGATATTTCTGTATACCTTTCAGCGTTGGAGCCTGGTCAGTGTTGGATATTTCTGTATACCTTTCAGCCTGGTCAGTGTTGGATATTTCTGTATACCTTTCAGCCTGGTCAGTGTTTGATATTTCTGTATACCTTTCAGCCTGGTCAGTGTTTGATATTTCTGTATACCTTTCAGCCTGGTCAGTGTTGGAAATTTCTGTATACCTTTCAGCCTGGTCAGTGTTTGATATTTCTGTATACCTTTCAGCCTGGTCAGTGTTTGATATTTCTGTATATCTTTCAGTCTGGTCAGTGTTGGATATTTCTGTATACCTTTCAGCCCGTTCAGTGTTTGATATTTCTGTAAACCTTTCAGCCTGGTCATTGTTTGATATTTCTGTATATCTTTCAGCCTGGTCAGTGTTGGATATTTCTGTATACCTTTCAGCCTGGTCAGTGTTGGATATTTCTGTATACCTTTCAGCCTGGTCAGTGTTGGATATTTCTGTATACCTTTTAGCCTGGTCAGTGTTGGAAATTTCTTTATACCTTTCAGCCTGGTCAGTGTTGGATATTTCTGTAAACCTTTCAGCCTGGTCAGTGTTTGATATTTCTGTATACCTTTCAGCCCGTTCAGTGTTTGATATTTCTGTAAACCTTTCAGCCTGGTCATTGTTTGATATTTCTGTATATCTTTCAGCCTGGTCAGTGTTGGATATTTCTTTATACCTTTCAGCCTGGTCAGTGTTTGATATTTGTCACGACTCCAATACAAATGTCCAGTTGTCTACCTTGTACATCACCTCTCCGAAGACCACGAGTGCAGCTTCCTCCTGCGAGTGTATAATAAAAGGTCAAGTGAATGGACAGATAACGCTGGACTATGTCCAGTCTAACACGGACAGTACACGATGTGGAACCAACTACCTGTTAGTGGAGAGTAAGACACTGGGCAACCAAACAGCCGTAAACAAACAGAACAACATATGCGGACGAAAGACCGTCGCCAAGGATACTTATCACGGATCTGTCCGTCTTACTTACGGGACCAAGTCGTCGTTCTTTAACAGTGGCTTCCTGACCAAAATCGTGGGTGGGTATATTTTTCATATCCCAATATGCCTGTTATGGGTTCTGTCCTATATCAACATAAATACATGTTGTCATGACAAGATATAGAATACCGAATTCCTGTCTAAGATCACGAGTGTTGATTTATTTCTAGTCCTAACTTAAAGACTGAATTTCATATTTTTAATATCTCGAAACTAAGACATACAACAAAAAGCCCCAAACTTTACATTTGACAGGTACCACGACATGATGTACGTACAAATCATTATTTTACAGTGCCGGACGGTGCTTCACAAGACGTGTCTGTCCAATGCGGTGCCGTGTTTTCCGAACAAGATCAACAAACAAATACTCGAGGAGGTACAAACGGCCCCCCGCTGTATAGACAGATGGATGGATACTTCGCCGCCTACAACAGATTTCTGACGACGGTTTCTCCATTTCAGGACCCATATTATGACAACAATTCTACCCAGGGCTCAGGAAGAAATGCTGCACGTGCAACTAGTCCTATTGGCGTGAGTCCACCAAGTGGCCAATGGCGTGGCCCAGGACATCGTCCACCTTACTGGAACAGAGGTTACCAACGTTACGGGCCAAGGCACTATCCACCTTATGGACCCGCGCCTGCTAGAACAACCAACTCAACAGGCCCGGCAGGCAATAACACCACGTCACCTCAGAACAATGTTCATCACTTCAATCGGCCGCGATATTACCCTCCAACTGTTTCACCTTTTTGGAGATTCATGCGCCAACGCCGAAATAGGAACTTGGATCTTTTTGCAGAAGATCCTATGTTTAGGCGATGGGGTTTCCAACAAGGTCCTCCAATGGGTCGTTGGCCACAGAATAAGGGTCCACCCACAGGCGGCCCTAAAGCGAACGTAAACGGCACCAAGTCAGCTAAGCTTCCGACCGATGTGGAGTTCATCGGGAACTCTGCAACGCGAAACAACATAGAACCGAAAAAGAACAAAGGACAGAATACTCCACCTGGTGCTCCACAGGCTCGCAAGAGCGAGAGTGTCACTGAGGAAAAATTTCCCACAGAAGCAGGTAAGTGATATTGGTGTGAGGGTTCATGTCCTACTGCAAAACGAGAAATTTTATTTTCGATTTGTTCGACCTCAAACGAGTCTGGTGATTGGGTGATCTGCGCGGAATTCAACTGTTCGTAAGCATTCTTTCTCCTAATTTAGAAGTGTAAGACATCTAGTTAGATTAATTAATTTTATGAGATTTAAACAGGTAACAACTACCAGTATACATGACAACTTTTTAAAGTACGATTTCTCCGAAAAGAAGTGCGTCTGGGATATAAGATCCAGTATAAGGTACATAAGCACTGACATTTGATGGCGGAGGAGGGTATTACCATCTTATGTATATGTAATAGTAACAGGACGTGTTATTCTCATGTCATAATGTTGTTATTTTCTGTAGGACGACTTGCGGCCTATATCATAGGAGGTACTGGAGCGGTTCTTTCAGCTGTCGGAGGTGTGGTCATGGTCTTACTCTGCAGCAGAAGGTACGTAACTGTGACACTGAATCTCAAACTCTCTGGAAGAAAGAGATACACATTCTCATAACAAAAAATGATACTCAGTCTCATTCTCTGTAACAGAGAGTGATACTCAGTCTCATTCTCTGTAACAGAGAGTACCACCCTGTCGTACTCACTAATACATACAATGATTTACACAACTGATTCAATGTTGAGTTGCTATGTCTCTTAATCAGACTCGTATTGAAGAGATGGTGGTGATGCGTGCTATCCTTACACAGGGAATAAAATGATATTGGTCACCAAGGCAACAGTTTCACCAAAATGTACATATTTTAATAACAACATTTAATAAAAAAAAAACCAAAAGTAAGGTAAATAAATAAATTGCAATTGTATCATTCTACATTGTAGGAAGAGACGGAGGGAGTCTGCTGGTAACAGTGATGGAGCTTCCCAGGTTAATGTCGGTCCTATATACTCTTTGCCGACTCACAACCTTGGACGCGTGCACGTTAACGCTGCGTATGTAAGTTCTGACGGGGAAGGGTCTGAGGCGGGATGGAGTGAGCTTGACCTTGACGACCCAGCTGACCCTTATACAACCGCTCACATTCCATCTCATGCCGCACGAGGAGATAGCAATGTCACTGCTACCCGAAGTGAAGGTCGTCCCATTGCGGCTGATCTATCAAGTGGAACTGTTCTCGGAATTTCTAACTTGGCCTGTCCGGCCACCGGAGAGTCCAGGAAGAGTAGTCAGCCAATCTACGATAATAACATCTGAACATTTGGATTGTTTAAACCTAATTTTTCAATCTAATTCTTGTAAACAAGTGCTAATTTTTTTATACTTTTTGCTTCATGTCTGTGTACACACATTTTACAATTGAACCGTAAAAATCAAGCACCGATTACTTGGTGTCACTCTTAAATAAACCCTTTGCCTCTCACCGACTACTTGGTGTCTTTTCAGATAAACATTTGCCTCTCACCGACTACTCTGTGTCTTTTTAGATAAACACTTGCTTCTCACCTGCTATTTGGTGTCTTTTTAGATAATCTTGTTTCTCACCTACTACTCGGTGTCTTTTTAGATAAACACCTGCTTCTCACCTACTATTTGGTGTCATGTTTAGATAGACATCTGCTTCTCACCTACTATTTGGTGTCACTTTTAGATAAACACCTGCTTCTCACTTACTACTTGGTGTCATGTTTAGATAGACATCTGCTTCTCACCTACTATTTGGTGTCACTTTTAGATAAACACCTGCTTCTCACTTACTACTTGGTGTCATGTTTAGATAGACATCTGCTTCTCACCTACTATTTGGTGTCACTTTTAGATAAACACCTGCTTCTCACTTACTATTTGGTGTCATGTTTAGATAAACACCTGTTTCTCACTTACTACTTGGTGTCATGTTTAGATAAACATCTGCTTCTCTCCTACTATTTGGTGTGTTTAGATAAACACCTGCTTCTCACTTACTACTTGGTGTCATGTTTAGATAGACATCTGCTTCTCACCTACTATTTGGTGTCACTTTAAGATAAACACTTGCTTCTCACCTACTATTTAGTGTCTTTTTAGATAAACATCTGCTTCTCTTGATTTGGTGTGTTTAGATAAACTCTCCCTACTATTTGGTGTGTTTAGATAAACATCTGCTTCTCACCTACTATTTGGTGTCATGTTTAGATAAACACTTCCTTCTCTCCTACTATTTGGTGTGTTTAGATAAACATCTGCTTCTCACCTACTATTTGGTGTCATGTTTAGATAAACACCTGCTTCTCACCTACTATTTGGTGTCATGTTTAGATAAACATCTGCTTCTCTCCTACTATTTGGTGTGTTTAGATAAACACCTGTTTCTCACCTACTAATTGGGGTCATGTTTAGATAAACATCTGCTTCTCACCTACTATTTGGTGTCATGTTTAGATAAACATCTGCTTCTCACCTACTATATGGTGTCATGTTTAGATAAACATCTGCTACTCTCATACTATTTGGTGTGTTTAGATAAAGACCTGTTTCTCACCTACTAATTGGTGTCATGTTTAGATAAACATCTGCTTCTCACCTACTATTTGGTGTCACTTTTAGATAAACACCTGCTTCTCACTTACTACTTGGTGTCATGTTTAGATAGACATCTGCTTCTCACCTACTAATTGGTGTCGTGTTTAGATAAACATCTGCTTCTCACGTACTATTTGGTGTCTTTTTAGATAAACACCTGCTTCTCACTTACTACTTGGTGTCATGTTTAGATAAACACCTGTTTCTCACCTACTATTTGGTGTCACTTTTAGATAAACACTTGCTTCTCGCCTACTATTTAGTGTCTTTTTAGATAAACATCTACTTCTCACTTACTACTTGGTGTCATGTTTAGATAAACACCTGTTTCTCACCTACTATTTGGTGTCACTTTTAGATAAACACTTTCTTCTATTTATTCAGACGTCGAAACACACAAAACTGCATTCGTCATTAGACCACTCCAATACCATCAATATTATTCCGTCATGTACTTACGGACCAAGGATTTGAGAACACATGTCTTCTAGTTAGTGTCATCGCAATGAATACAGGTCAATCTGTCAATATCAGGTTACCGGATAATCGCTATGTTTCGTTTCCCAACCTATTATTTTTGTTTGAGGAGTTAAACAGCTATAATAGTCTGAAATAAAAAGCATGATGTACATAGTAGACAGTGTTTGTGTAATCAATCCACTCCCGGGCACTGGGATCTGTTTTATCACAAGATACCATAACAACATAAATTAATTACATTATCAGTACAACTTTACAGGGGCATTTGATATACCATTATCGATATTCCAGGGGATACAATCACTTTCACTCTCTGTATCCTCAATACCCCAGTGGTTACAATCACTTTCACTCTCTGTATCCTCAATGCTCCAGGGGTTACAATCACTTTCACTCTCTGTATCCTCAATACTCCAGGGGTTACAATCACTTTCACTCTCTGTATCCTCAATACCCCAGGGGTTACAATCACTTTCACTCTCTGCATCCTCAATACTCCAGGGGTTACAATCACTTTCACTCTCTGCATCCTCAATACTCCAGGGGTTGAAATCACTTTCACTCTCTGTATCCACAATACCCCAGGGGTTACAATCACTTTCACTCCAGGGGTTACAATCACTTTCACTCTCTGTATCCTCAATACTCCAGGGGTTGAAATCACTTCCGCTCTCTGTATCCACAATACCCCAGGGGTTACAACCACTTTCACTCCAGGGGTTACAATCACTTTCACTCTCTGTATCCTCAATACTCCAGGGTTACAACCACTTTCACTCTCTGTATCCTCAATACTCCAGGGGTTACAATCACTTTCACTCCAGGGGTTACAATCACTTTCGCTCTCTGTATCCTTAATACCCCAGGGGTTACAATCACATTCACTCTCTGTATCCTCAATACCCCAGGGGTTACAATCAGTTTCACTCCAGAGGTTACAATCACTCTCTGTATCCCTGGTATAACCGAAGTCGTTTCATTGTTTCAAGGAGAAAAACTGTTTCATCACAGACTGATACACTCCTTTTAAAGATTTCAAAGGATCGACATCCAACTTCAAAGCCATTACAATATACCGTTATGTAACCTCGAGATTCATTTGATGTACATCAAAGGATCAACTTAATCTTTTGTCGCACTTGTGCCTTCGATTTTGCCATGACATGTTCAATTTACGGAGAGCGAAAGTGATTGCAACCTCTGGAATATTGAGGATACAGAGAGTGAAAGTGATTGTAACCCCTGGAGTGAAAGTGATTGTAACCCCTGGAGTGAAAGTGATTGTAACCCCTGGAGTATTGAGGGTACAGAGAGTGAAAGTGGTTGTAACCCCTGGAGTATTGAGGATACAGAGAGTGAATGTGGTTGTAACCCCTGGAGTATTGAGGATACAGAGAGTGAAAGTAATCGTAACCCCTGGAGTATTGAGGATGCAGAGAGTGAAAGTGATTGTAAACCCTGGAGTGAAAGTGGTTGTAACCCCTGGAGTATTGAGGATGCAGAGAGTGAAAGTGATTGTAAACCCTGGAGTGAAAGTGGTTGTAACCCCTGAAGTATTGAGGATACAGAGAGTGAATGTGGTTGTAACCCCTGGAGTATTGAGGATGTAGAGAGTGAAAGTGATTGTAACCCCTGGAGTATTAAGGATACAGAGAGTGAAAGTGATTGTAACCCCTGGAGTATTAAGGATACAGAGAGTGAAAGTGATCGTAACCTCTGGAGTATTAAGGATACAGAGAGTGAAAGTGATCGTAACCTCTGGAGTATTAAGGATACAGAGAGTGAAAGTGATCGTAACCTCTGGAGTATTAAGGATACAGAGAGCGAAAGTGATTGTAACCCCTGGAGTATTAAGGATACAGAGAGTGAAAGTGATCGTAACCTCTGGAGTGAAAGTGGTTGTAACCCCTGGAGTATTGAGGATGCAGAGAGTGAAAGTGATTGTAACCCCTGGAGTATTAAGGATACAGAGAGTGAAAGTGATCGTAACCTCTGGAGTGAAAGTGATTGTAACCCCTGGAGTATTAAGGATACAGAGAGTGAAAGTGATCGTAACCTCTGGAGTGAAAGTGGTTGTAACCCCTGGAGTATTGAGGATGCAGAGAGTGAAAGTGATTGTAACCCCTGGAGTATTAAGGATACAGAGAGTGAAAGTGATCGTAACCTCTGGAGTATTAAGGATACAGAGAGCGAAAGTGATTGTAACCCCTGGAGTATTAAGGATACAGAGAGTGAAAGTGATCGTAACCTCTGGAGTATTAAGGATACAGAGAGTGAAAGTGATCGCAACCTCTGGAGTATTAAGGATACAGAGAGCGAAAGTGATCGTAACCTCTGGAGTATTAAGGATACAGAGAGTGAAAGTGATCGTAACCTCTGTAGTGAAAGTGGTTGTAACCCCTGGAGTATTGAGGATGCAGAGAGTGAAAGTGATTGTAACCCCTGGAGTATTGAGGATGCAGAGAGTGAAAGTGATTGTAACCCCTGGAGTATTGAGGATGCAGAGAGTGAAAGTGATTGTAACCCCTGGAGTATTGAGGATGTAGAGAGTGAATGTGATTGTAACCCCTGGAGTATTGAGGATGCAGAGAGTGAAAGTGATTGTAACCCCTGGAGTGAAACTGATTGTAACCCCTGGGGTATTGTGGATACAGAGAGTGAATGTGGTTGTAACCCCTGGAGTATTAAGGATACAGAGAGCGAAAGTGATCGTAACCTCTGGAGTGAAAGTGATTGTAACACCTGAAGTATTGAGGATACAGAGAGTGAATGTGGTTGTAACCCCTGGAGTGAAAGTGATTGTAACCCCTGGAGTATTGTGGATACAGAGAGTGAATGTGGTTGTAACCCCTGGAGTATTAAGGATACAGAGAGTGAAAGTGATCGCAACCCCTGGAGTGAAAGTGATTGTAACCCCTGAAGTATTGAGGATACAGAGAGTGAATGTGGTTGTAACCCCTGGAGTATTGAGGATGTAGAGAGTGAAAGTGATTGTAAACCCCGGAGTACTGAGGATGCAGAGAGTGAAAGTGATTTTAAACCCTGGAGAACTGAGGATGTAGAGAGTGAAAGTGATTGTAACCCCTGGAGTGAAAGTGATTGTAACCCCTGGAGTGAAAGTGATTGTAACCCCTGGAGTATTAAGGATACAGAGAGTGAAAGTGATCGCAACCCCTGGAGTGAAAGTGATTGTAACCCCTGAAGTATTGAGGATA